ATAGGATAATCAATGCATAATGGATCTTGTTTCTTATTGGCTAATAATGATTGTTTTAACGTATGTGCTATATTGTTAGTAGGAGCCATATTAGTTTTGTTTTCATGTCTCTGTACACAGATAAAAGAATTGTAAAGTGTAAACTTGAGTATAGATAGATTTGTTCAACTGTAGAAAATAACTAATATAAGTTCATGTAACAAAAACGTAAAAATGCTAAATTTTCTCAAATCAGTCTTTAACTCGATATTGGTAGTGGATATTGAGTCTAGAACCGCATTACTATCTATCAAAAACCGTTTAAACAAAGAAATCACAAGCGAGTGGGCACTAAATTGCTTCAGTTCAGTAAATATCAATCGGAAATTACTTATATTCGTTGACAATTGACACATTAGGAGTAATTATCACAAGTCACAAACCTTGTAAATGATACAATTTGACATTTGAAATGATTTAAATCCGTTGTAGGCTTTAGCAGGACCTTAGAAAATGCGCCACACCTGTTGTTAATAAATTAAATATTCAATCAAGTAACAGAGGTTTAGTCAGGGTCACGAAGTAACCAATAATCTGTCACTTCTGTATGTCATATCAGAAATAAGTGTTGATGTGTATTTCAGTACTATTTAAACTTGTGGTTTACATCAAGTCACGAACCGTCAGAAATACAATTTTTCTACTCATTGGGATATAACAAAAAATATATTTGATGTGATATTGTGAATGTTTATTGATCTGGGATCTGGCTTCATATGACCAAATGATATCGGTGTTAATTAAATATACATCATATTTACTTCGTACATATTCTGTAGACATATCTTGTTAATTCCCGACCGTTGTTGCTACCTTGACGTGGTGGTCGGGCTTGCCTATCGTGATGAAGCAGCCAAGCTATACTGACTGGAACAACTGTTCCTCAAGGTCCTACCACGTCAGAAAGGTCGGTTGAAGAGCGGTAAGACTAAAAGCAACAAACCCAAGGTCCGAAGGCGAAGTCGTACTGCTGATTGTACAGAGGTGTGACGGCAGTAAGGTGTTTCCTTCAGACAACCAGCATGACAACGATGCTGCCTTACCACAAGGAAGGGTGGGGTTAGAAAAGGCCGACCCTAAAAATGCACACTTCGCCTTATCCCACGGATACCCGTCTCCGGCGGTAAGGTCTCAACAAGTACGGAGCTAACACAAAAAATGCCCATAAAAAGGTCGTGTGTGACCGACCTCAAGCAGTTGTACCTTGGGCACTGCGGTCACGCTCTCAGGTCACTAAGACCGCTTCTAATCCGATTTCCTTTTCAGGTACCTCCAGAAGAACCCTTCCACGGTATGGGCAACCGGGAAGTGATAAACGCTCTCATACCTCTAACAGCACTCAAGACCACTGTATTCATAATCAACCTCCCTCTTCAATTCCTATTATTCCTCCTATACCTCTATCTTGTTAATTGCAACCTAGATATGAGTAGTCTAATGTACAAGTATTTGAGGAACATATATTTCAAACATTTGATAATGTTAACGAACGATGAGAGGCGAGATCAAGTGCACATGAACTGAAGTGGAAGAAATAGTTAACTCTGTGAGTATGAAGGAGAAACAAGTACGTATACAGACACATAAGTACTGGCATACACACTTGTATAAATCACTAACCAATGTTATGCATTAGTAATTGGCATGGTCAAACACATAGATGATAGGACAAGTAGGAAGATTAGAATAGTTTATGCCCTAAGATTGAAACAAGTCACGTGGGTGTGTCAGGAAATTTTGTAGTGAATAAAAGATCTTTTCTTACCAACTAATTTACTTTAAATGTTAACTCCTATCTAAACTGTTCCTATTTGACAATGAAAATTATGTGAAAACTAGTCGTGACTTTCGAAGGTATCACACTGGTAGTTCCATACTTGTACAGCTTCTTACTGAAGAACCTATACTGCAGCTTATTAGGCTTTATTATTTGGCACGTGGCAACAATTACTCATACTACAGATGTCTTGATACTTATTGTAATAGGATAACATAATAATTTATTTCGCAGTGTCCTGAATGGTTACTTAGTAAAATGTATGGATGCAGTTTGGTTTATCGATCATTGGTCAACTTGAATATACTGAGTTTCTAAAAACTGTCTGATATTTTTTCAATATTTCCAAGCTAACATCTTCCACGCTATTGGTTTTAATCTATATGAGTAACTCACTGCATCAAGAAATGTGTTTTACGACGGAAGATGAAATCGAAAAGTCCTTGACTAAAATTTAACATATTTCAAAATAATATAAAATAATAATTATTTTGAACAGTAGTCAAATAATAAAATACAAGTTGCAACTCCAGTCTTATTCAAGACTCACTAGTCATATGTCGATGCATCCGTGTTATTGCTAAGCAAAATGAAACTGAAACCCCTAACCTGTAGCTATGAACAACAGCATTTGTCTTCAAGTTACTGAGTCATCAACCTGTTATGATACTTATTATTAATTATAATGTACAAGTTAATTACATAGAAATGCAAGGAATGTCAAAGCATTGGTTCAAGGAAACTCGGAACCTAATAAATATAATACTCGATATGAGTACAATAGTATTAGATTTCTTAAACAGATTCAATTTACTATAAAGTACAATTAATCGTTTTATTAAAAATTGTTTCTCATTTGGTGGAAAGTTCTGCTTAGTTGTTTTTGAATAGTTACAGTGATATTCATTAGATTTGAAGAAATTTTTCAGCTTAGAGTACCGTATATTTTCAATCAAATGGTAAAAATATCGCTACATAAAATAGATGGAATGAGGCCAACAACAAATCACAGGATGCGAGTTTTGTTTGATTATAGACTCGTCAGCAGGAGGTAACTCTATCCGAGTTAGTGTCTACTGTAGGATTCAAACACATTACCTATGTCTCCAGACGCCAACGTGTCATCTATCTAGTTACTGAATCCAGACAGCTACTCACTTGTGTTGCGTTCGGATCACAGAGTGGATACCAACGCTGTGATTCAGGCAAATTCAGCTGACGAGTTTCAAATAGGACGGAATGAGAGTTCCGGATCCCACTGCTAGTCACGTTCCCTTTAGTCTACATAAACTTGTTTCCATATGCGCCAAATAAGTCTGATTGAATTCCAGTCAAAATATAAGAGGATAGTCCCAACTATTATCAATTAAATTGTAAAAGCATCATTTTATTGACTGTTTTGATGGTGTCGAAGAATAAGGTTTCAAACAATTGATTTGCGTGCGAATAATATTAATTACAGTTTAACGTGATACTAAAACGTTAGCGAGTTTAAAATGTGTATACATATTGAACGGTACTTTTTGTGAATGTATGAGTAAGTACTAAAAACATAAGACTTTGAATCACACGATCTGTGGTTCCGACTGGAATTCGGAAGACAGGTTGTATCATCACACCATGAATACACCACAGCGACTGTGACTAACTAAAAATGTTATTTGATCAATGAGGCTATGTCGTGACTTTTACGCATATAGGAGTACCACAATCGCTCGTTTGGTGACAGATGAATATCCATTTAACTCACTTCGTTTTGATTAATATTATTAGACCTCAAACAACAGAAGAAATTCAGTCTAAAATAGTGCACAAAAAACGACTTGGGACAGATACAAATCTATTAAAATCACAACACCACATCATAGCGAGTTAAAATTAACATGGTGAATAGAAAAGAAATCAAAATAATCGTAGTGTCAATTACCGTGAAAAAAACTAAGCAAAGAATACGGTCCGAAAACGAAATAATGAAGAATTTAATGAGTGAATCAATGTTGAAACGTAAAATTTGGAAAGTTAAGAAGGTATATGTCACTATCATTGCAACCCTCTTTGGTATTATGCTAACATCACCAACATTTAATCACGTCATCGGTCTGCACAAACTAACAGCCAATAACTTCACGAACTGACGTCGTGTTGGTTTTGTTGTACCTAGTCTTTCTACAGTTTAAGGCTTGTGCTGGCCTGCACTTTATTGGGGGGGGGGCATGGTTTAAATTTTTTGGCTTGTACTCTTATGTCTATAATTTATAAATTAACTAAGTATTTGGATACTAATACAATACCGGTTACTCTGACCGAAGGAGATGTTGCAAGGTTTAAACCCAAGACATAGTGGCTGAAAGTTTAGAATCCTAACCACTAGCAGTACTTTAAAGACATTTAAACCCCAAATATGGTGGAGAGTTGAATGAGTAAACCAGCATTTGGTAGCTTGGTTACAACATTCCACATTATTTAGAATAAACTTTATCACTAGAATACAAACTAAAAGTCGAATGAAAGTTTAAAAAAGCTTTTAAATACCAATAAATCTAATACATTATCGGTAAATATATGGCACACTGACAGCTAAGAGGGATTTCAAAACTGATCTAAGACCTAATCAATCGGAATGCAGCTTTTATGAAAGAGCTCTTTATTCAAAAAACATGATATAGGGATTAAAGATGATAAATGAACCTATTACAGGGTGATTATCCATATATTGGGCTATAAATCCTAATATCCTTAACGTTTTAAAATCCTAATACGCCTAACTCTAACAACCCAATCTTGACGTCTACGCTCTAAACTTAATTACTCGTTACACACAAAAAAACTCTTCATCCAATCCATCAAACATTCAAAATCTAATCAAAAACATGATATCCAACAATAAACTATTCATAATGGCATTTTTAATATTTAAAATCAGCTTTTATTATTTTGATTGTTCGTTGAAGATTGTTGGTAAAGTATATCTATACTGGATTACCTTAGTAAACGTAAAAACATTACATGATACCAGGAAGCACCCATTAAATACATACAAAAGTGTACACATACACAAATCTTTGTGTGTATATTTGTCAGTTAGCGCAAAAACTACAATTCATGTATATATGATTTAAAGGTGAAAAACTGATCACCCAATAATCTAAAAAAAAGAAACACCGAAAAAGAAAGGAACAACATTATCAGTAGTAGTTTCTTTTATTCACTTGTAATTTTACATAAATAAATAAAAAATATATGTAACCTATCGTCATAAGTTATACATTTTGTATTAAAATGTTGTAACACAAAGACTAGCCAATAAAAACAAAAGTTAATTAGAAAAAAATTTTGCCAACAGCAGTGTAAAACTTAATTAGATATGTGGGAGCATAGATTATCCAAAAATGTAGCCAATACCACTTCACAATTTCAATCCTTTTATCACTCGTTCCTCATTTATCTCGGTCATTTTATCGATAATATTTTCTTTTGAACATTACTGAGAATGTGAATGACAAAATTCTAATAGTTTATCACATAATTGAGATGAACGATGACATAATTTAGCTTTGTTTAAAACTTTAATCACCAGATCTGGAGCGAATTGATTGATTCTCAAGAGAACACGTGATACACTGGCACGTATTCGTGAATTAGGATCATCTAAATGAATAATGAGGTTATTTAGGAAATCTTCTATAACAGCAGTATAAACTGGATTTAATTGCTGAGATGTTTTAATGGTTGTTGTTGTTGATGATGTTAACATTGGAATAAGTAGACGAATCCATGCATTGATTGTTTCACAGATAAGTAATCGTATCTAGTTATAAATCCGGAAAGAAAGAAAAAAGACAGAACAAACCATATGTTAGTACTGCTTGATAGCTGTGAAACTTATTGCTTTCGTGCCCTATAAAGTTTGCTTGCTAAATTGTACTACTTAATAAGATTCAGTAAGTAATATCAAATTCGATCAAGTTTAAGATATGATGTGCAACGTATCTGGGTTCCTGTGTATCATCATTATGAATTGTTTGAATGAATCTGCAATATTCTCCGTATTTATTATAGAAAAGTGATAATTTATTTATATGTAAAACAATCTTTGAGTATTTTTCAGATGTAACAGCTTCCAGGTTTTGTGTTTTTAGTCACAGTTCCGATTATTGACAGCTACTGTAAATTTTGACACAGCTTAGTAGCTGATAAGTAGATTATATGTTTGTAAATAATCTTTATACACCTATTCCAGGAAGAATCACCCTTTCGATTGCATACATTGAAGCGTACAAACACTACAGACATATAAAGAATTGAAGTTTGTAAATATCTTACATCTATTTTGAAATAATGCTACCGATTTACAGATTGGAATTTTGAGCATAATTCAGTCATTTCGTTAGACTCTCCAACATACATACGAAACGGCCGTTCAGTGTTTCCAGATTTTTAATGATGGCCTAACAATGATCGATTCGTGATTTCAATCGAAAACTCAACAATCACCACAACCCCATACTGATATATATATATATATAATTACTGTTGACAGCAACAAGGTATAACTGTATATATATCTATGAAATTGTTTTGTGAGATGATCGGTTCCAATGTCAAAACAACAAGCTTCTTATTCCTGAGTTCAACCAGCTACTTGGTCCAAAAAATGAAAGTATTCAGATGTTTAAGCCCTAATATACATGCAGTAGTCTCCAAACCCAAGATACAAGGAGAAAATTTATTCACGAAATAACAAAATTTTTCATCATAATTTGACAATAACTGTTTAAACGAAAAACTAAACTATAACATTTAGCTCACTAGTAACTTACTTCAAGATACTAATGAAGTTCTAGAGAGAATGATGTTCAGAAAAGGTACCTATGGTAGTGCATGATCGTTGAACTAAATCACAAACTGGTTAAATTTGGAATTGCACCGCTGGACCACGAGACGTAAAGGTCGTGTTTCGATCCCCAGTTCGACGTTGCGTGAGCACTGCTGAGGAGTCACATACTAGGATGTAACAGCAGTCTAGTGCTCCATGAATTTTAGTCATACCCCAAACGAAACTAGTCTACGATGAATAGAATTTCGAGTACTGTATACCTAAGATCAAGATGAGAAGTGCCGATTAGTCCATTATGCAACTGGTTAGCGCCTACAGATGGACTCAAGTTATCAGATTTTCATGTTTATCCCATAGTAACTCATAGAAATATTTTGCCACTGTATCTTTTGCCACTCGGGTTTTGGCATATATATTTTTGTTTCGTTCCAATTTTTACCCTGAATTGGGAACATTCCAGTGAAATATTATGTCCGCAAGTTACTAAACTGTAGAATTATAGTAAAACTTGATTTACAATATTATTACACTAATGAAATTGTAAAAACAGAATCTGAAAATTGTATTAGCGATAAGTAGAACAAAGTCTAAGTGAGCCGTTCATGTAACTACACGATTAATTATTTTTTCTTCTAATATATGGAACTATTCATCTGACTAAATTGATATTTAACTACGAGGTAAATCTTATTACTGTCAATACACTAATTAATAATAATAATAATAATAATAATAATAATAATAATAGTCAAAGAGGTCAGTAATGGGAAAGTAGAACTTACTTGATCTTTCGAATCATTAAGACGCTTAATAAAATTACCATAAAAACGATAGACTTGATCACCAAATGAATTGGCCAGTGGACAATAAGGCAATAATACACTATGTTCTTTGACCAATTCATGATTACTACTGCTAACAGTATTAGTAATAGTAGTAGTAAGCGGTTGAATCCATGTAGGTGAATTGAGAAAATCTATAACTCGATTTCCTTCATAATGATTTTGATTACCGTTAGATAACTCCATCGATGATGAAGATGCCGGCGATATTGGCGGTGAAGGTATAAGAAGACCATTAAAGAATATGGTCAAACAAAGACAAGCTAAACGTCTGGTCCCTTCCAAATCATCATCTAATAATGAGCCTAAACGTGCCAACATCAAAGATAACAAGGAGCCAGATAAACTTGGTAGATAACTATATTTTGGAAAGGATTGTATCTCATTGTTAGCTGTAAATAATTAAATAAATAGAATTGTGAGAAAAAATATATGAAGTGATTACAATCAATGAATTAAGGACAGTTCACACTACGGACTGACGATATCAGTTGAGGGAACTAAAGACTAGCACACACAAGATCGAACACATAATTTACAGGTCGAGTGGTGAGCACGACATCTTTATACAAGTTGGAAGTAAAGTTCTACGCAAGTAACATAGATCAATCAATTAAAGAGGTTATAAAGTTGTACCTGATGAAGAAGATTTATGAAAGGTATATATGAAGGCCACTGCCAGGCTGGTAAGAGCAGGACTACATTGGAAGAATGTAATCGCTGTTGTGAGCAACCCTAAATGAAATCGATGATATGTGACATTAATTATTGAACTGATACCTCACATTTATTTATTTATTTAAACAAATAAACATTGGTACAAAAGGGCACCGAATACATATACGCCACACAAGTCAATTGCTTTGTGTGTGATACTGCAGCGGTGTGAAAACCGAAGCAGGTGACTTTCTTAGAGGACCACACCCGGACCCTTCGACCTGAAGGTCTGATCCACAAGGCAGTGGAGCAACGTTAGGAGATGCAGTCCCATGGTAGCCGGCGACCAACAATTGGTTCACGCGCCTTTTGTGCCCTCAGGACCCTGGAGCCCATATGGATCATTGGTTTAGAATCAGGATTCCCCACCTCCCTAGGTGGATTCTCCATATCCACCAACCTGCCAGACATTCGCTTTTCGTTCTCACAATTTTATTAAAAAAACCCTCTGCAAGAAAGCAATTAAGTATACAGTTCTGATATACAAATAGTCTCTTTCTATCAAAGTATTCTTTGGAAACACAATATTTGTACGCCACATTATTTATACCGTCATTAGAAACATTCAGTCGTCACGTCTAGTAATAAAATATAAAACAATGATTTCAAAAAAATAAGTCAATTTTAACCATAGTAAACAGTTTCTATGTAAATCTCTTACGGATTTTAATCCGTTTACGATTCACAAATGAGACATCCACTATAAAACATGCATTATTCCATCTTTTGCGGTTGTCAAACATGATCTTGAGAAGTAGAAAACATATGTAAGCTACTAGTAATTTGATAACCGGTGTTTTAAATCAATGGATCGTGTATGTTGGGAACGTCAAGTGACCAGTTTAAGTAAGACTCAGAGTACTAGACAAAGATGGTAAACAGGTTGATAAGAATAAATACTTGTCTCGTATTAAGATAAATAAGCTATCTAGTGTTTCTTGGTTTTTAATGGTTGTCCGTGATGTAAGTTCCAGTCAATCAGGATCAATGTAAAATCTGACGTATGTGCACACGTACAAGTTGCTACATTACATAGCTAGATAAAATTATCGAGACAAATCGTAAAGTGGTGGGCATGGTAATAATATCAGGAAGAAGAACCGATAAGAAATCTAGGCTGCTCGTACGGGTTTATGTGTCATTGGTCCGGTCGATAAGTCGCTGTTCTCTAATTGGCGGTATCATTACGTTATATATTGAAAGGGCACAATGCTACAAATTATAATAGATGGTCTCCACCTACTTACATAGCTCAATAGAATTGTCAGTCATTTCATGGAGTAATGTCGTCTTGGTTTTCGTCATTATAGCTTTCTTCCAGTCTACTCCTACACCAAACAACACTTCCCGTTGAGGTAGGCGGCGGTTGGGTACAACCACATACGTCACAAACACCTCAGTTGATGGAGATTCACTACCTCACCAATGAATTTGCCTTCTTTACCTAGTACCTCATACGTAACCTCAGCGTTGCCCACTCAGTGGCCCCAAAATACACGAGCGATGATACGAAGACACCTATAAGTGAATACTAGTAACCTACAAATATCCTCTACTAGAAATGGGCATGGTTCATACCCATAAATTAGAATAGAGAGAACTGCTGTGCAGTAAACTCATCCTTCGGTTGATGGACTAGAAAATTAAACAAATTCCATACACCTATTATGTACAAAGGATAATTAACTTACAATTAGTATTATTAATATCACAGACTTCCTCTCTATTTGTTAACTCTTGCATAATCTCATGCATAGATTCAATGTTGTTAGTTAAAAGCCAATTATCTATGTTGATTTCACTGTTAGTTCGTAAATTCAAAACAATTTCAGATAAATGATACATTGATACAGCACTAGCTAATAATGCTAAATAACTTGTAATAGCTGCTTTTCGCATGGCTTCTGATGTACGACCAGCTCTCCATACACATACGGGTAAAATTAATTTAGAAAAACAATAGTCCAAATATTTTGGGGATGATAATACTTCCTAGAAAGTTAAAATTAAAAAAAAGATAAAAAGGTATAAATCGGTTCAAGTGTCAGATATGTGACAATGTCATTTTAAAAAAATAAGCTGTCAAATATCGTGAATTAACTGGAGATGGAATTGTACCAGTGGATGTCAACTTAGTGGTTTGAAAGTTAAGCGTCAAATGCACTAAATGAAGTTCCCAGGATTGATCCAAGGTGAGGTCGTGAATGTACACTGCTAAAGAGTCTTATACTAAGATATTACAGCTGTTCAGGACATTTTAGCTTTTAATAGTTGTCCAGTGTCAGTTCGTGACGTAGACCATGAGATAATTGAATTGAAGTGATAATTGTTTAGTTATTAAGGCACCCACCTATCAAAGATTTAAAGAACAGAGGAGGGTTAAAAACCTATTCTCACTAAGGTGGATTAAAAATTTAGATGCAGCGTAGGCTGCTGACCAAACTTTTGCAACCAACTCTATCTTCAGATTTCCTTTCCAGTTCTTTCCAATTGCTACTCATTCTTTTGGTGCCTGCTTTTGATTTACGGCGCAATGTGTTCTTACGTCCACCTCTTTTCCTCCTGACTTCGAGATTCCAAGTTGGGGATTGTTTCGTGATGCATTCTGATGATTTCTGTAATGTTTGTCTTTTCCTAACTTCCTCTCTAGCTGGAAGTTGTTTTGTTCTCTGTCATAGTAAGCTGTTGTAGGTGGTATCCGGTCAACGGATATTGAATATCTTGCGTAAAAAATCGTTTGTAAATACCTGTACCTTTTTGATGATAGTTGTAGTTTTCAAATTTCAACTCTCCACAATAGAACTGTCTTGACGTTTATATTGAAGATTTTGACTTTGGTATTGGCTGACAGTTATTTTGAGTTGCATATGTTCTTTAACTATGGGGATGCTATCCTTGATTTTCCAGTCCTTTCCTTTACATCTACATCGGATACTCCTTGTTTATCAAGGATGCTGCCTAGACACATAAACGCTTTCACCACTTCCAGTGCTTTCCTATCAAATGTGATTAGGTTGGTGCTCTCTGTGTTGTATTTCACTATCATGATTTTTACTTCGTGTATGATGAGGCATACTGGCTGTCTTCATATGCATTTGTTGGTGTACGGAACAGGAGAACTGGGTCGTCTGTGAAGTCCAGATCGTCAAGCTGCATCTAAGCTCTCCATTACATTCGGTGCTTCCCCTCAGATGTGTAGGCCTTCATAATCCAGTCGACCACCAGAAGAAATAGAAAGAGCGAAAGTAAGTTGTTTTGTCTGACACCGGTCCTCTCTTGGAATGAGCCTATCAGCTGACATCCATGCAGCGCTTTGAAGTAATTTCTGTCTTATGAATTGTGTGATATTGACAATCTCTTCAGGTACACCATAGTGTTAAAGACAAATGCTTTCTTAAAATCAAAGAATCTGATGTATAATGACGCGTTTCATCCAATTAATTGCTCAACAATGATTCGTAGTATCGCGATGAGGTCGGTGCACAAGCGATCCTTACGAAATCCAGCCTGCAGATCTCGAAGTTGGGCGTCTACTGAATCTTCCATTCGATTTGACAACGATCTGTTTAAAATCTTTTCCTGTTCCTGATAGTAGTGTGATGTCTGTAGTCCTCACACTTGCTCAGATCGCCTTTCTTCAGTATCTTGATGAGATGTCCTTCCTACCAAATTTCCCTGAATGGAACATGGAGTATCTTTGCAGTTGCCTGTATGCCTGACTTCAGTGCTTCGGCTGGTACATTGTCAGGTCCTGCTGTTCTTCTACTCATGATTTGTCTAGCGGCTATGCTGATTTCTTTGATCGTTGGTGAAGTGACAGCTATGGGAAGGTTTGTAGGTGCTGCCCTGATGTCCGATGGGTTTAGTGGAGCTGGTCTATTCAAGAGTTCTTCAGAGTGTTCTACTCACCTGTTCCTCTGTTCTTGAATCTTAGTGATTGGCTTGCCTTCTTTGTCCTTGACCGGTCTCTCTAGTTCGCTATATTTCCCTGCTTGTTTTTTCGTTGTATCATATCGTTGTCGCATATTTCCTTCTTTTGCAACTTTTTCGGTTGCCATTGATAGATCTTCGACGTATTTAAGCTTGTCAGCTCTAATGTTCCTCTTCACTATCTTGTTTGCTTCTGAATATTCTGAGTATGCCTTCACTTTCTCCACTCTTGTTCAACCGTTATTAATTGGTGTCTTCTTGTTCATTCTTCCCTGAATCCTACCCAGAGTTTTGATCGAGATACATTCTTTATAATGATGCTTCTTGAGGCCCAGCACCTCCTGGCACGTTGAAGCTAGTACTTCTCTGATTCGCTTCCAGTTGTTCTCCGTATTAGTTTCCTCTTTTTTGAGTAGGTCTTTTGAACCTTGGAACTTGTTGCTGAGAGCTCTCTTGAATTCATTGAGCTTATCGGCATCTCGAAGAAAAACTGTATTAAACTTTTGCAAAGCCGTTTCTCCAGTTGTGAAGTGCATCTTCAGCATCAGTCTAATCCATTTGTAAAACGAAACATAATTAGATTGATTTGATATTGTGAAAAATTTCAGATTTCTACAAACCATGTAGTATGAGCAATAATATTTAGTAGAAACATCTCGTACATTTTACAACTGAAATAATAATGTTGAAAAGTTGAAAAGCAATATGACTCCATCTGAAATAAAAAAATCCGAAAAAATTAACTACCTAAACTGTTAACAAACTTACATAGGTACGTACATGTTGTAATAATATTTGGCTATGATTGACAGCACTCTAATATCAAGTCAGTAACTAAACCCAGTTGCCTAAAACAAATTAGTTGGAACGGGGTTCAAACCTGCGACTTAGTAATTGTGACACACTAAACAGGGAGTCACCATTCCACAATATTGTTAAATAAGACTTATGCAACAATTACATCAACCTTTAAACAACTAATGCCATGTAAAAAAAAATCTAATATTGAATAATTTAAAATTTAGATGATGTTATTCACTGATCAGATAGTCAATGGATATGAAGGGTTTATAACTTCCCGCATTTAATACTTAGAACTGTAAATCGTTAGCCTCTGTTGGCACAAATTTATCTTGAAATGGTCTTCCTCGATGTCACTCAATATTTACTATAAACAATGAATAATAATAATAATAATAATAATGTAAACTTACTCTGATCTGATTATTATCTGTCAGTTTTGTAAGCAACATTAAACCACGTAGACGAAGTTCAGCTTCACTAGCTAATGTTAATGGATCTGTACCGCCGGGTGATTTATCAAACTGACTACTATTACTACTACTATTGTCAACACCACCGCCACAGGGTGCACGATTTAATCTACAACCACGTTCTAAAAGATCCAGCACAGATGCTAAACATTCTTTTTTAGTTTGACTATTATTATCATGATTATTAAATGTGAATAATAGTGCCGGTCCAGTAGCTATTTGTAAACAACGTGAAAGTATCGCTAATCCAACTGAACGTGGATTCCATGAAATAGATTTTTTCAAATCTTCATTTAATCTACAAATTAACTGAGTAACAAGAGAAAAAACGACAAATTATGCAACTGAAAACGAAAGTTTGAATTTACATTAAATATATGTATTTTCAACAAAGGACTGATGCTATTTACTTCACGTAGTCGGATAGTGTTACTTATAAGTAACTATTATTTTATTGCATATGTTTTCCTATAGCATATATTTATCAACTCATTTACCAGATAAAAATTAGAGTATTTCGGTTTGAGCCATATTTCTAGTAAAACGGGCTAGTGATACTATGCAGTTGCCCAAATTCATGTAGTTGGAGTAGGATTCGGACCACTGAGTTGGTGAACCGAATTCTCACACAATCGGTGGGTCATCGCTTCATACATATTGTCTTGAACTTTTTAAAATTTATAGTCATCTCTTTCGATATATACTTTATAGTTGACCAGGGTTTATCAACTATCTTAAGGAGCATATATGTGTAAACGATATTATAAATAGTAGTATGAATTACGCATACATGTATATAAATACAGTTTATAAAAATAAACCTACCAAAAAGTGATCGAGTTTTAACGACGCACAAAAAATAAACTTACCTTAGGCATGCAGCTGAAAAACAGCTGATCCATATGACTAACTGTTGTTGAATTCACTTCAAAGTCCTCCTCAGTGGAGAGATGATATTGTTTGGATAAATTTATACAGTCACGGTGACAGGCTGCTAACCATTGCATGAGTTTATCACATGAACTAAGAACTGTACGACCGAAATCTGATGAAATCAAATCATTTTCTGGCCAAATTGCACCCGATCCAAGAATTATTTCAAACAAACATGAACGGATCTAAAGTTAAGGTGGGAAAAACTCTAAGGACAGTACATTCAGGGCAATACATAACGGAAATGACAGACACTGAACGAAAAGGTTTTCTTTGGACGACTAGACAGAAATTCAGTTTTTATCAAGGTGTAAGAAACTGTCAATTATCTAATGATTGAAAAGCTTCAGCTCTCAACTAACAAGGTCACAGTTTCGAACTTCATTCAGCCTTATTCCGCCCTCACAACTGGGCAGCAGCATTATTAACTGTTAACACGAAGACAGTGATTTACAGTAGAGTGACGTGTCTGTGTACGTGGCTAGTTACTGTACAACAGTGTTTTTCATGTGCAATGTCAAATAATATGATCTGAATTCAAAACGGGCTGACAGAGTTCTACCTACTATAACAATATCACAATCGAAAATGCACTATGACAACAAATAGAGCAGTGACGGAGAATTAACAAGAGGTAAGCAGAAATAATGGTTTCTATATTCCTAATAATGATAGGCATTGTCGTAAAGGATTATAAAATATGTGAAAAAAAGTGCAGAAAAGATATTGGATGAAAAGGTACAGAATAGGGAAATACATTTATTAACTACAAAAACAACGGATACTCGTTTGGTGCAAACCACATCAACATAAGTTTCCAGTGTCCCTCCCACAGTTTTATCGAATAAGTAAATAACTTTTTTCTATGTAGACTAAGTAAACTAAGATCTCATACTTTTGTGAATACTCTTTAGATTTTTGCGGTTACTTCTTTTATTTACTTGATATACATAAATTATGGTGTGACGGAGCACCAAGGAAGGTATGCAACATACAAAATAAAGACATTATAAAGGAATGAGTGAGTGAAGGAGAGTACAATAGTCAAGAATCAATATAATAGGAGATACAGTTCAAATAAAAATATAAATAAAAAAGACTTCCTTTAGTTAAGCGATTACCTCTCACTTTTATGAAGGTAAAAGGAAGCTATGACGGGATCAGAACTGGTTTCTATTCTGATCCAAGTCTGACAAAGTACTAAGCAAAAAAGTTGAACTAACCCTAGGAACCTGACCAAAAAGACAAGATGAACGGACAGATCCCAGTCCTATACATATTTCTTTCATACTACAGCTCCATTTCACAAAATGACCAGCCCACCACAGAGTTATGAAATGGTGTAAGATCTGTGAGCCAGTGGGATGGGACTCGGAAAATGCTTGAGCCATCGAACATTTATTTATTTGAACACAGAAATATTAATACAAAGTGGCACCACACAAGTCAATTGATTTGTGTGTGGACTGTGATACTACCCGGGTGACCAAACCGAAGCAGATGGTTTTCTTAGGGGGCTACACCCGGAACCTTCTACCTAAATGTCTGATCCACAAGGCAGTGAAGCAACATTAGGAGATGAAGCCCCATGGTAGCCGGTGACCAACGATTTGTTCCTTCAGGATCCTGGAGCTCACGTGCACCATTGGCTTGAAATCAGGGTTTTCCAACTCCCCTAGACGGACCCTCCGTGTCCACCAACCTGGTCAGAGCGCTAGACATTTGTTGTTCGTCCTCTCAATTTCGTAAACAACATCCCCGCCTCGAGAAGGCAGTAATTAGGACTTCCCTGACAGTGGCTGTATATGCGTAGACATATGAGAGCATTTCGAGAGGGAGAGTGGACTCTCCCCACTCTCGGCCATACTAGGGCATTCGGGGGGCCACCGAACACTGTTTCAAGATGGTGATACTAACTAAATTATCGTCACTGTGCCCAAATACATTGTATTACCAATGTGGTGTTGTTACCGAATGTCAGCTATCTTTCGGAAACAATTATGATCGAACACCGAGTCACTGGATATCTTAGGCTAGCGTCGGACAAGTTTTACAAGCATAGAGCAGAAATGCTCTTACCAACGAGTTGCAAACATAATCTTTAAAAGCCAGACAAACAGCACTAAGGAGTCAAAGATAACTCGGATTGATATAAGCTGCTCTTTAAGTTACTAATTAGGAGAATATGTGGTTACTTGTTATATGTAATAAATGGATCAACCAATCAGCTTGAGAAGGCAACCTGAACAACTTAATTTAAGTCTTGTAAAGACATAAGTGCCTGGTTTTCAACTGTATCTCTTTTATAGAAGTCGGTAGTACTGTTGGATTGTTCGCATTAATATGTAATCGGTTTGGGGTTTGATGAAACTGGCATAACATAGTTTACTGAGATCCACATACGAATAATAATTTAAAGGCTCCATATATGGAAAAAAATACCAGGACATTCGCGTTTCGTAAGCATTTATATAATGTACAACTTCATGCATAATACAGTGAAAAATGTTATCTACTTACTTACCTGGTTGTCTTGAATTACTAATTTTGCTGCGTTATAAGTAGCTTGAATAATATTTTTATGACTATCATCATTCAGTTGTAAAGTTTCTAAAGTATCCCCTTGTTGTTGCTGTTGTTCTGTTTCCTTTTTTAATAAAACAATCGCTTCTTCAAGATGTTTAATACACACTTGAACACATTCTAATAGACCTGCTTTGGCATTAATCGATATGACAGAGATTAATTCATTTTGACAAAGATAAGAGATAATCTTATGTAATGTACTATAATTGATTGGTGTATAGGTCTCCTTGACATGACCACTTTTCATTTGATAATCATTATTTTCATTAGTTTCATTTCCATGAATACAATGACTATCATCAGAAGTAGTAGCAGTACTGGTAGTATTAGCGAAAGCATTAGTCACATTAGTAGAACACTTATTCAATGATGAGTCACGCTTTAACTCTTTCATTTCGTCAGTTATTATTAATTGGTTTAATGGACTACCATGAAGTAAACCAGATAAAAGGAGTAAATGGCCAGCTAATGATGATGGTGCAGCAGATTCTGTACAACGATCAAGACATGGTTCCAGTAAATGCCACCAAAACTAGACAAGAAACAAATAGATAAGTAGACAATTGTGAAAAATAGGATATATGTAACTGAATAACCAATGGTTCTTAAGTTACTTGGCTATATACAAACACAAATCGAAGATGGTAATGCATTAGTAACCGATTTTTTATTAAGTCAAAAAATAAAATACTGTGAATCATGAACGGTGTCAAAATCTAAATGACGTTGAGAATTATTAGTGGCTGAAAGGGTGAGCACCCCTTGAAAGGCCTGAAGGCCTTGAACTCAATCCCTGGTTGGATTATGGATACGAACTGCTGAGTATCATACCAGAAAATAAATATCTAGTCTTTCATTTACAATGTTTAAATAGTCACTATGGCGTAAACTACAAAGTATCAGTTGTTTGGACCTATTCGTTTTTCTGAAGGAAAAAGCACTGGAGTTTACACCATGATACATGCAAATCATGAGTTTATTTTCAGGAGCCAAAAAGAATCCCTACAAAGTTTATTACCTCGAATGGTGAGTGGAAGAAGTATTTTACCACTAACAGGAAACCCAGTCTCGGAAATTCCAGCAACTTTATGATACCTACGGTACTTGATGTGATTAAACTGTTGGTGGTACAATACCCCTCCCCATTTCCCGTTACGACAGAACAAACTGCTTGAGAATTCCCTTCAGCTGTGAGTTTTATCGATATACTTTTGGTATACTCGTACTAGGCGCATAACTAAGCAATCATACTATCGGATTTCTGAACATAGTCCTGTTTAGCTGACCAAAAAAATTCCAAATGACGAAAAGCTCCCCTCCGGGACATCAGATCACCACACCGAGACAAATTTAGCCTTTATGGTTATCTAAAGAATTCTGTTGAACTTGTTCTATGTTCCTATAATCCGCCTGTTGGACACATCGGAAGCCATAGGAATACATATCCATAAATTTACATTTTGTATGCAGAAAACTTTGTACATACCCCTCATTTGACCTTGCTTACGTTTCGGAAAATATTCGTAATCATAACTCAAGAAAACATTTTTATTTTAGGACATAAAAATTGGTGCGAAAATATTCATCGATTTATTGGTTGTAATGTGTATAAATGGTTTACGAGTGGGTTTGAGTAACTGATGTTTATCGTCAGTTGGTATTGTTGTGAGAAGTATGCATTTATAGAGTAGTAGTCTCATTTCTCGTGTAAACTTGCTAATAAGAAAATAAATTTGGCTAGTTCACTAACATACAAAGTATGAGAATGTATAGGCGTATATTTAATCTAATACTTATTTTTGATTTAAAAACGCTCCCGCAATACATCCAAAAAATTTAGGATAAATTTTGATAGGTAAATGAGATTTCTTCCATGAGATCTAATTAACTGTAAACAGTAAATGGGTCATCCATTAAAAAAACAGGATACATGAACTTTAATCTTCCTAGTAATTCAATCCATTTAAGCAAATCACACATCGGTATACACTTCAATTTCAATTCCACGTTTAGCTTAAATCTTTTTCCACTATTTGTTTGAATAATTCGTTAACCTACCTAGAATTATACAGATATTGAGGGGAATTGATAAATAGCATTGGAATTTGCAAATATTAGACCTTATGTTTAAAAGTCATAAATAAACAAACTTGCGTAAATCTAATCAAAATATCTGAGTTAGTCATCTAAAACAGCAGATCAAAGACAGAACTAATTCCCTATTTACTGAAACACCATTTCCTCATATTAATATACCAACGAATAAAAACCAATATTTAAACATCATACATAAAGATCTAAAACTTTTCCAAGTTATTAAGAAGGATTTAAACGCTGAAATAGCTGTTACTAGGTTGGGACTGAAGTTTCAGTGGTGCGATTGGAAAAACTGGAGTTTGGAGAGCTCAATTATGACTTTGTACTCAAAGGGTAAAAAGCTTCTAGGATGGCGTTTGCCAGTAATCATTCAATGAGAAAAAGACTGATTTTTCTAACAGGTGCCGCTTTAATGTGTCAAATAAAGTGGATAGTAGTATAGGGATCAGCCCTTCCCCGAAGGATTATCTCGTGGACTCTACTAATTAGATTAGAATTAAGTAAACATTGGACATATTTGAATGTTTTAACTTCTAGAAATCAGTTCGACTAGAAACTAAGTCAATGAACTTTATTTCAATTGAGTAGAACACTAGACTGGTGTTCAAAAAAGAACAAGTGATATATGGTGATTGGTCTTCGAGGTCTCTGAACTGTTCCACTAAAACATTATCTTGTACTCCTGAAACATTCTTACGAAATAAGTATCAAACGGATAATCTAAGTACTAAAAATATTAAAAACTCACCTTAGTGGGGATCATGCAACCCAAAACTTGAGCAGCAATAAATAATTGATTGATAATTTTAATTGCCTCGTTGGCTTCAGATAAACTAAACACCTGAGATGTGGCATGTGTAACGACTAAACTCATTACATCTACTCTGTCAGCAGTGGTTGTACTTGACGAAGATGTTTCCTTCCGAAATGAAACTATAGGCATCATATTTATTAAAGACATATTTCCAACAGGTGATATTCGACTAAGTGCATCAGCTAGACCATTTGCAATACCCGTTAAAAGATGTTGAGTATGTTGAGTAGCAGATTCTTCAAGATGTAATATTAATATGGGTATTAAACTGGCTGCTTTTAAACGTGTTGCTTCTTGCCAGTCTGAAAGATCTTTACATAAACCTGGAAATAGTTTGGATGCCGATCTGTAGACGAGCTCTCGACAACCTGTAGAAAAGCATACTCTTCCAATAAACATTTATGGTAGCATATTATTACGAAAATAAAGTAGCTTGGCTCAACGTGTGGAAGAAAAAACTACAGTAAGTGTACTATTAGTGTTGTTAATATCTTCAATAAAATGACCGTTAAAGATAGGAAATAGTCAACTACTTGCCAATGAAAAGTGATTCCCCAATATAAATTTGATGGCTCCCGAAACGTCTAAGTACTCACATGACAATCAGCATTTTCAAGAGAAGGGTTTTGAAATACACCCCTGGCCTGAATAGATACGCCTTACATTATATGACGTTGACCCTTGATTTGAATGCGTAATCCTTGTGTCAACCAACTACCCGATTAGTTTAATATGAAAAGTAAATCCTGCCATTTTCGCATGACCACAAATTTTGGCTCGGTGTTTTTTTTTAGAGAATGATTATAAAACAGAAAACGCCCGCATCAGTGTTTACATAAATAATATGCTTTGTGGAATTAGTCAAACGTAATATGGAATTTACTGTATTCGATTCAGTACTAAGGTTGTCAGTGAAGGAGCAAACTTAATAGGACACTTTCCGCTTTACTGAAACAAGGACATGGACTTATGGAAAACTGCGTTGATATCGAAAAGAAGGAATCGTATCGCTAAATTTAGTTCATCAGTTCGAATACATATTAAGTACAAAATTAAATTGTTTTAACAGGTAACATCATGACTCTTAACTTAATGTGACAACAGCAAATTACTGATGCAGTTTAAGCTTTGGATTATTCAAGCGCCTTTGTAAGGATACTACTTCCTTGGAAAACTTACCCAGTATTGGTCGTTTGCACCCACATGGATAGTGAAATGGAGGACCGTGATCGAAATCCAGTTTATCTTTCAGCTGCTCTTCGTTCTCTTTTTCAAACTTAAGTCCTGAAAGCTTACAAAGTTTAATCAACCTTCCTAACTTACCTACATGATGCCACAATTTTGTAGCAACCATACGGATTTCATCTGATTCGTCAATGAAACCGGAAAGAAGTAGAGGCAATAACTTTGTTTGATATGAATATCGATCAGGTAAATCCAACAACCATGAGCCCACAAGTTCAATAACAGCTCGTCTAACTGCTGATGACGAATCAAAAAGTCTTTGGGTTAATGGTGCGATAACATTTTCAACAAGCTTTCCCTGGCTGTGCAGCAAAACCTTTTCAAGAGCGACCACAGTTTCTAATCTAACTTTCGAATGTTGATGTGTAAGATTTGACAACATAGGCAGTAAAATAGACTCCGAAATTTGATAAAATCGATGGCATTTTCTCTGCGATAAAACCACTGCAATTTTACAAGACAATTTTTTAATTTCATGATATGGATCGACAAGTGTCTTTTGAATTACTGAGATATAATCATCGACAAATGGAGATATCTCATCAGTTCTATTCAGCAAAATATATAAGAGATTAAGTGTGGAGTAGCGAATCTCTTCGGAATGTTCTATTATTTCTTTCTGTCCTAAACGCATAACCAGCACAGGCACTAATAATGCAAGCAAAGGTGTCACATCATTAGTTACATCTATGGATAGCTTTAAGACTTTCACTGCAAGTTCGCGATTGACCTCAACAGGATCATTCAAAGTCTTTGCCAGATTTTCTGCTACTGAACTAAAAATGGTACTTTCTTTATCGCTGTTAGTATTCAAGTAGTCTTCCACAGACTTCAATGCTTTTTTTCGAACGAACCTGTCTTCATCCGTTAGTAATGTAATATATCGAGCAATATTACACAGACTATCACCCATATTGAGGTGATTGATTTGTTGCACTTAGTAGCAACCGTACAAACAAAGCCTCAAACCTGCCACTTTACATAAGACATTCAATATCTCGAGTTCATAGGTCCATCAATGATCTTATATTATCATAATCCAATGAAGTTGAGTACTATTCTTATTACTTAGTGCGGATCGTTTATTTAGGATTATAAGCCAATTAGAATATTTCAGGTTCAGAGTTCTAAACTTTTGACTTAAGAATTTCATTTTTACTTTGGAAAGGATAAGAGGTTAACTAACCTGTGTTAGTCGTGACAATGGTGGACAACTTTCTTTAGAAAGCGACGACAAATAAAGCTTTATTTATGTGTTGAGGTATTGAGCTTCATTCATTGGTGGTTCAATAGGAAAGTCAGTAGTCAGATGACAAGTAACTTGTCCTCGGCTTGTGAACCTTTTAATACTTTCCTCATAAATTTTCTGTTCTGGTAGACAAGAAAAGTCAAGGCATATCAAGTGAAACTTTAGCACTAAGTAATTTGAAAACTGCGATCGAGTCGCTTCTGATCCTGCTATATGAGAGCCGAAACAGTCTCATTTAGCAGTCAGGCATCATGTGGGAGCTTCATCATCCCATAAATCAACTTAGTTGCGGTACTTTGAAACTTTTCCAACATTTCTCTGTCTCTTTTTCGTCAGGGCTGGTTTCTACTCAGCACTCGAGTTTAGGAGGCACGAATACTGCATACAAAGTCAGAAATGTTTTAGCATCGACATGGTCCAGAATGGTCTGGAGGGTCGTAAAAGAAGCCCGGGACGCTTTATAGGGGCGTTTAGCGGCAAATAAATCCCCAAGATAAATAGCTCTGTAAGTTTTCGACATTGGATACTGACCACATTAGTTTTAATGGACTCACCTAGCTGAAGGCACCCGGTGATGAATCCGCACCAGATCACGAGTGGGAACGCCGTGCTCAACAACCTCTGCAGTCGCTAGCCAGATTAGATCAGACGGTCCTCGATATATTGATAGCCTATTAAATTTATCTTCGAACCTTCTCGCTCCTCTCTTTTGATTTCACTTGGTGGAAACGCTTCATATTAAGTGTTACTGGTTAAAGCGTTGCCAAACTCCGAATACCTGTGGCATCTTCAAGCGCGATTTGGTCGGGTCTTAGTTGGACCCCTATGCTCAGTGAGAGTAGAGTACTAAGGTGAATTTGTTTTTTACTTTTAGTTCACTTCAGGGCATAACCTATCCTCTCTTCAGTTAGTAGGACCAAGACCTTATATCAACCATATATCATACTAAACTTCTGATAACTATGGATCATGGAACATTTCAGATCAAACAATCAACGTTTCAATCAAAGAATTTTTAAAAAATAACATTCTTGTTCTCAAATGTGATAATGAATAAAAAACACACCGAAGTTGAAATTCATTACTAGTGAGTTTCTAGTGTCCTTGTATACAAATGGTGGTGGTGAATAAATCTCGTAATAGATAGTTCTTTAAGTCCACGACTTTGATGCTGACCTCACTGTATTTATTGAACACACATACGTGAAGTCGATCAGTTACGCGTCTGCACCGAGTGGGTAAGCTGTGCTACTCATCCCTTGCTTCTGACAGCCATCTCAGATCAGACGCTTTTCAACATATCGATAACATTCAAAATATATATTCGAACCACTTCATTTATGATTTTTGTCTTCAGTGGGTGGGTGTACTTCGATTATGAAGGTTGAAGCGGTAAATAAAATCCCAAAGTCAATAGCTCTGTAAGTCTTCAACATTTGATGCTGACTGCATTAGTTTTAATGGACTCACCCAGCCGAAGGCGATTGGTCATGCATCCGCATCAGATCATGAGTGACTACGCAAGGCTTCAATTCTATAACCGCTGGTCAGATCAGATTAGTCAATTTTCGATATATTGATACTCTACCAAATATATCTTTGAACCTCTTGACCTCTGACTTTTGATTTTACTTGGATTAGCACGTTTCGATCATAGAAAAGTGTTACTGGTTAGGGCATTGTCAAACTCCAAATACTTGTCTCACCTTTAAAGTATTACGTGTACAGGCATTGTCAGACTCAGAATACCAGTTGCACTTTTACTGTGATCACCCGATTCGCGCATTCGTGAGTTGAAACTGCACAATTCGAAGATTTTTCATTCTGATTTGTCATTTTTTAAAGGTCGCAGCATACTGCTTTTTAAGCAATTTAGGGGAACCGATGAAACCTTACCAAAAATATTTATCTGAGTAAACAAGTAAAAAGCAGAAGAAGAAACACAACACAGTTGTTGAAAACGTTCGGCTGATGTCGTCAATTACCCGGCCCCACTTAATTTTTTATTAACCCTTATTTTACGTCTTGGAAATATACCCAAGACTAAGTGACTTGACAAGTCCATTTGACTCCCTAGAAAAAAACACTAAGCTGTCCCCTATACGAAACTAAGAGAACAATGAAAGCTAGCAAAGAGATGTGAATAAGTATCTTGGATATATCTTAATAGCGTCATGAATTCAGTTTCAGTTTCAGTTTGGGAAGGACAGGAGGCTCGATGGCCTATGTTAGTCCTGGCAATGGTGGTCCCTCAGTTGATCCAACTTTCTTTTGAAAGAGTCGACGGATGGAGACTCAACCACGTGCTGAGGTAGTGAATTCCACTCGTTGATGATTCAATGGTAAAGTCGATAGTCAGCTGACAAGTAATTTGTTCTCGGCTTATGAACTTTTTTGGAGTGTCCTCGTAAATTCTCTGTTTTGAAAGACAAGAAAAATGAGGGCATGTTAGGTGCAGATTTATCACTAAGCAATTTGTAGACTGTAATCAAGTCGCCTCTAGTTCTGCGATATGACAACGGGAAAAGGTTCAGCTTGGCCAGTCGAGATTCATACGGAAGCTTCGCTATTGCGGGAACCAGCTTAGTCGCCGTTCTCTGAACCTTTTCCAGAAGCTCACTGTCTTTTTTAAAGCAGGGGCTAGCCGCTTGTATGCAGTACTCAAGTTTAGGACGAACGAACACTGTATACAAAGTCAAAAACGTCTTAGTGTCGACATGACTAAAAGCCCTACGTATTGACCGTAACGTTCTAAAACTTTTGGCGGCTATTGCACGGCAGTGTGCAGTAGCCTTTAAGTCTTGACTAACGATAACTCCTAAGTCATTATATGTCTGGACGACAGGTAGCTCAGTGTTATTCATCGTGTATGTATCTGTGCCTTGATGACCGATATGCATCACAACACACTTGGAAGTATTTATCGGCAACTGCCATGTTTGAGACCATTCAGATAACTTCTTCAGGTCATTTTGAAGTTCTAAGCTATCACTCTTACATCGTATCGTTCTCCATATCTTGACATCGTCAGCATATAGCAAGACCGATGATGATAGGAGACGAAGAAGGTCATTTACATACAAGAGGAATAGCACTGGCCCCAAAACTGTACCCTGGGGCACTCCACTAAGCACAGTTTCCCAGCTAGATAACTTTGAGTTCACCCTTACTCTTTGTTGACGCCCAATTAAGAAGTCTTTTATCCACATCAATAAATTACCTCCAATCCCGACATGTCTTAACTTATATAACAGTCGGTTGTGCGGAACTTTATCAAAAGCTTTACTGAAATCAATGAAGGCGACGTCTACAGGTAGCTTTTGGTCCTTAAGAGCACACCAGCTTTCACGAGCCACTAATAAGTTAGTGAGACAAGATTAACCTATTCTGAAGCCATGCTGCTTCTCCGAGAGGATCCGGTTTTTATCGAGATACTTCAACAGCTCCTTCCGAATAATCTTTTCTAATATTTTAACAACCACACTAGTTAGGCTAACGGGGCGGTAGTTCTCAGGTTTGTGTTTCGTGCCTGTTTTGAAGACAGGACTTACTGTGGCGTTTTTCCAATCTTTCGGTAAGCGACCCTGCGTAACGGATAGGTTAAAGCATGTACTTAAAGGGTTCGCAACGAAGTTAGATAATTCCTTCAGTAGCCTAGGATGTAATTCATCGGGCCCCGTGGATTTACCTATGTCAAGCTTATTTAGCAGACCAAAGACATCGAGTTCTTTAATGGTCGCGCTATCCAGTGTATGTATGGGGGGATCTGTATACGCTGACGAGAAGGGCGCTTCTATGGTATACACGTTGCTAAAGTAGTTCGAGAACGCTTGAGCCTTACCAAATTCGTCCTCCACTAATGAAGAAGCAGTACTGTCTCCCCATAGAGCAGGAATATTTCCTTTTCTCCTTGTCCTTTGGTTTATATTGGAATACAAGCGTTTAGGACATTCTATGGATTCCTTAACAAGTTTTTCTTCGTACAATTTTCTAGACTTACGGAGGGTCGAGGCACAAGTGTTCCGAGCCTTTCGATACTGAGATTTTGACTCATCAGTCCCCAGGAACCTAAATCTATCCCACGTTTTCCTTTTCTTACGGAGAAGGATACGGACCTCCCTACTGAACCATGGTGGTGAGTTTTTCGGCCCCTTTGGTATAGTCCAAGGGATGTGAGGTGTGGTAACTTTTAAGTATAATTTTCGGAATGCGTCCCAGGCCGTTTCAATGGAGGACTCTGGGTCTATTGTCCAATCTATTAACGATGCTGAGTGCATGATGTCTGGTATGTTTGCTTTCCAGACGTCGGGTCTGGACTGGACTGACGCGTCCTCATGACTGGCAGTTATATGGAAGTCGAAAGTTAAAACTGCGTGGTCACTTTTACCTAAGGGTGGCATATGATGGAGGTTCGCAACATCATCCTCATAGTGAGTCAGTATAAGATCTAATAAGGATGATTCAGTGTCCGGGTCGTACCTAGTCGCTTCTTTCACATGTTGCACTAGGGCACATGTGATAACCGCATCAACTAGTTCCTGCTCGAAGGAATTTTCTGACGATTCAGTTCGCAGATTTTCCCAGTCTACCATAGGTGCATTAAAGTCCCCTAGGATTAGACATCGACCACTTTGGGACCAAGTATTGAGACTGCTTAACAGGATCTCATTTGCCTCACAGCTTGGACTGCGATAGACCAAACCAATCAGCAGCTCTTGTCCCTTGCAT